CCTAGAGTTCCTAAATTATCTCTGAAGTTGAAATTCTCCATCTGTAAAATGAAGGAGTCAGTAGACAGAAGTAGGGTACTTTGGGTTTTAACCAGTCTCCTGGATCTGTGGCACCTACCACAGTATAAAGGGAAACAATCACTTTCTTTAAAAGGGAAAGCAGGTATTCAATTCAATGGGTATAAGGACTGGATTAAACACATCCTTGGAGGCCACTTACTTGAAGATTCAGTAGCATGTTTACTATGCTCTCGAGAGTCCCAAGTTGCTAAAAGAAGACACTCTGAAGAGCATTTTCAGTACAGCATAGAATTGAATAGTAGACTCCATAGGCGGGATAAAAGTAGGAAAAGGTTGATCAATAGGAACAAACATGTGTGTTCTTTTTATTGTTTTTCATGTGGTTGGGCACAGGGTAGGATGTCCAGATCAACAAGTACCCCAAAAGGGAGTGCCTAGGAGGAGTATGCAGACAACTCAGTTCCTGGGCCTAGAAACCTCCAGCAAGTTGAAAATGAGGGATGGTGCTGAGATGCCTCTGAACAAAGATCTCTGTCGGAAGATGAACACCACACTTGGAGGTGAGCTGTGGAAAACACAACTTTTCCACTGCCAGTAGGCACTGCCAGCGCATACTCACTGACTTAGAATTGTCACTGAAAATGAAAAGCATGAGTGGAAAGGTGGAGGTTCGCATTTCTATTTTCCAGTTTGATGCTACCATGTAATTTAGTAATAAGCATTTCATAAAACACATACTACTTTCAAGTCAGTTGCAATTTAATTAGAAATCAGTAACAAGGCCAGTGCGAAAAAGAAAACTATGGTTCCAAAGCATTGCTGTGAAGAAGCAAGAAAGTCCCATCAGAAATGTTCAATTATGCACCTGTCTTTTGAATTGACGTAGACGGGCTATTGCATACTGAAAATCAACGTAACATGAAACCTTACCACTTTAATTATAGACAAATCTTGCACACACAAACACACTTACACACATGCGCGCATTCACTCAATTTCTCCCCAAAATAGCTGCATTCTTTTATTTGGTGATTCAATACATTTTAAGTTCAAATAGTCACCACATAACCTAGGCACGATATTTAGCGTTTTACAAGCAAAGTATTTTACTGATTTTCTTTTCAATTGCAAAGAGTACAATAAGTGAATCGGTTAAAGGATATACTTCTGTACATAAAAATATCCATGTATTTATACACATGTATGGAACAGAGTTTAAAGATAAAACCAGAACAGTATAATAAATAGGATGTGTATCCACAGGACAGCAGAGCATGTCTCAGGAACTGTGAAGTCTCTTATTTCAAGGTGCTTTATGTTCTTCTGAGCTATGCTCATATTTCCCAAAAGGATTTTGGAGACTAGTAAGACCAGGATCTGAACATCTACTTTCATAGCTTTTACTCTGCATCCGAAGAACAGGGGTGGCAAATATAACTTTTATTTTTCAAACTTTCTTTGCAATTTACCAAATTCTATTGACTTCCCTTTCAATACTTTGAAATGCAGATCACTCTAAGCTCTAGCACCATACGAGCGCGAAATACATGTATTTTTGTCAGAGCAACAATATTTTATATCATCTTTGTTCCTCTGGCTATACCAATTTTGTTTAGAAAAATTTAACAAGCTAAAAATAATTGATCTAGGTTGTCATAAAAAAGCATATTAAATACCTTTGGTAAAAATAGATATATTTAACAAGATTAGAAAAGCAAACAGTTATAATGTCAAAAGGAGAATATAAAAATGTACACAATAAAACAAATAAACCAACTTGTAGATAAAGTGAATATAAGGCCACTCTTCTTTTCAGGTTTGTTTCTTCCAAACCATGGATGTAGTTCTCTTCTTCTAAATGGTAGAAATTTTAATTAAGAAATATGGAAAATCCAGTCTTTTCTTTCAGCATGACATAAATTTAATTCATAGCAATATAGTTCCTTTTTAAAAACCATGATTGTAGAAGATAGAACACTCTGATTTATGGATATGTGACTAGAAGGGAGAAAAATTCCAGATTTCTGTGATTTTAGGCCCAGCTTATGGAGCTTTAGAGTTAAGCAAGAGAAGAGAATCAGGTGCCCATGTGCACAGTTTATTTCCTGTACTGACATGACCTTAAGCCTTCTCGAGAGAGATCACTGAAATACGGAGCACAGCTAGTGGAGCAAGGTGACCCTGTTACTAGCTAGTGACCTACAACATCTAATCTTTTTTCCACGATGAAAGACTTTTTCTCCTGTCCTTTGGGCCTCCCCTCAAAAGAGCTGTTGCACAACTCTTGATTCCACTTGTGTCTCCTCTTTTAGAACACGCTGTAAATCCTGAAGATGAAAAGTCCCTGAAGCAGACATTGAGATTATGGATGAAGAAAATACATAAGTTCTAGAACAGAATCAGCCACTGGGCTGGAGGCTTGGGCAATGGCAGCCACGCGTGTGGTTATCCTCCCGTGCTCCCTCTGCACACACAGTCACACTCCTCATGGTGCTCCAGGGCCACATCGGTGAGAGATTTATGCAATCCCCTGACACCGATCTTTGGTCTCAACTGTAGGACCTAAAAGGGAAACACATAAACCACCTTTGAAATTTGTCAATGCTTGTAGCTTTCAATTTCATAGCCAAGAATGTTGCTGTTTCCCTTATGAAAGCATCTGAGCACATCTTCCACCTCTCGAAAGTATCATCAGTGAGCAGCACCACGTCAGGAAATACAGGACTATTTAATTCCCACAGTTTGAAGGCTGCTGCTTCAGAAAAGAGAGCAATCCTTAAAGGAAAGCTTATGGAATCAGTTACTCATCTGACAAGACCATAGAAAATTTCACCGTGGGCAACTCTTTTGGAACCAACTACTACACGATTCTTTGTTCGGCTGGCTCATTCATTTATTCATGAATTGGACAAATATTTATGCTGAAGCAACGCGTGTGAATACAGCAATACTGGGAAAAGAAACACGATCACTGTACAGCTGAGTTTGCTCAATTATGCCACTCATTAATTTTTTTGGCTACTTTTCAAGTCCTCTATAAAGCTGATGAGCTGGATTAGATGTACTTCATAGACTTCAGCCTCTGTCAGAGCTAACTTTCTGCAGCTGCGTCCTACTGTGTTGCTTGTGCGGCCTGACAGCACTAACCACAATACCGCCTGGACATGGTGATATTGCAGTTTAGATATTTGAGATTTTTAATAAAAACATAGCAAAATGGACGGTGATACTAAACACATCTTCTTTTAGAGCTGTGACGAAAGGACCCAGCTATGTATTCCATGATATTAAAAATATTTGATAAGAACTAACATTTCTTGTAAGAGAAATGATAAAGCTTCAGAAAGCTTGTTTGAATTAGGAACAAAGAACAGAGACAGAATGTTAGCAAGTTGTCTAGCTTCTCTGTTCTTTGGGTCTGACACAGATAGATTCATAGAGCAATTACTAAAAGCTACCATTTCTGGAAATTATTACTAATCCACAAAGGCACAAGTCAAGTCTTAGGTCTTTTCTACTTAAACATTAAAAAAAAAAAAAGAAAATGAAGAATGATTGTACATCCTTTGGAGTATGTGGTCATATCAGAGGTTAATTAGCTAACGTTTTTTGAATGTTTATAGGGTGGCAGGCACTATAATAATATTTTTACATACTTTAAGTCACAAGAATTCTACCAAGTCATTTATGATTCTTGTCTCTATTTTACACATGAGTGAACAGAAGCTTAAAGAGAAAAGTGACATAGCCAGTATTCATCCTTCTGCCAAATATGAATTATTAAAGTCAGAGTGGGAAATAATTGTATAAAGACTCAAACTATTACCATTAATTACTTTTTCTTTAGTAATTTTCTTCATAGAGAGAGAAACTGTAAAGTCTTTTAAAATCTGTAAGCAATGATAAACTTTTAAAGCACATTGCATTTCATAATTCTAGGATTAATATTATAACTCTAACTTTGAAATTTAACCTCATATCTATTGAATATTATTTTATGTGTCAGAACTGATAGTAGTTTTGAGCAATTTAAGATAGCATCAAAACTAATGACTCGTAAGATACTAGTGCTATTCCTTATTATCACACTTTTGTTATAAATCATTTTGGAATGATATAAATTACAATACTGGCATAGCTAATGCATTCTATTCTTATATCTACTTGCACATATCTCCCAGTTAGTGGGAAAATTACAATGAAAGTTAAGTCTATGGATGTCACCACATACAGTCGGAACAGTCACTCATGCCAGGCTATAATCCTAAATCCTTCCTGCCTTTGGTAGGACAATTGTCATATGTAGTGTGATTTATGAAAGCACATATTTAGATTACCTGACAGCTAAGGGTTTCATGAATGTCTTTATTCACAGGAAAAACTATATTAGTTACTTATTGAGTAGATATTTAAATTCTGTGTGAACCTTTTATTTATTGGAAAAATTTTAAAAAATGAAGTGAAGTCATATTAATGTAGGTTCAGAAGGACAAATTTTAGCTTGGAATAATGTAAGTGTTTTGTAACAATTAAAAGTGACTCATAAAGACACAGGAGGGACAGCTTCCTGAGATATGAGCACGACAGGTCTGAGGTTCCATCGAATTGGGAAGAGTCCAACACTAATTCCACAGAATGACGACATAAAGGGTGAAGAATCCATAAGAAGTCTAATCTAGTTGAGGTAATTGACTGATAGGAAGATTAATATCTCTATGAACATGTCTTCTTGGGGTTTATGTCCCCTGATGAAAAATAAGTATCAGAGATCTCCTTTCTCCAGCACAGACCATCATTTTTCTCCAAGTTTCTCTTTAAAATATTTTCCTTCATATTTTGAAAAATTGCTAAGCTTCACTGATTCTTTTCCCATTAGAACATTTTTCTTTTTAATATGACAAAACTTCCCTGACTCCTGAGAGGATGAGCTTTCTAAATCCTTACTGTCTGAGTTTGTCAGCTAAAAATCCTAAATAAAAGAATATCAAAAGATAAATTATTTTGTAAACCTTGCTTTCTTCTTCTTCTTCTTCTTCTTCTTCTTCTTCTTTTTTGGGGGGGTGAATGCTACACCTCTTTTGTTAAAAATATTATTTTCTTTTCTATCCTTTTGTTACTTTTAAGACAAAAAACACACAAAGGAACCCCAAAATAAAATGATATACCTACCTCGTGATATTTTTTAGTAACTTTGCTTGGAACACACTGACATTCATTGCAATTATGGAGACAGCAGGCACAGTTTCCACCACAGCGTTTAACCAGGAGACAGCCTGGCCAGAAAATGGTATCGGTTCTCTTTAGTTCTTCCCTTATGGACACAGAGAAGTTACGAGGTGTACAGCTGTATAACTTCACCTCCTCTTTTAGAAGGTTCAGATCCACCACTGCAGGGCACAAAACAAAGCAAAGAAAAATAGATGTTCATTCATGCTCTGAGCCCGAATGTGTTTCATCACACTCTCTTTCATGAAGAAACATAGCTAGCGCATGAACAGACTCCTAACTGCCTTTCTTATTTTAACTAGGTTTCCGGGCTATGCAGCTCACAAGTTAAGACTTTCCATTTTATAGTAAACAAAGCTTCATTATGACTTAGTGACCAATAAAGAGATGCCATTGTGTAACATGAAGAACAGCACCAACCAAACAGTTGACGGCTATAAATAGGAAACTTTATAGAGCAAGAACAGGGTTACACCTTTTAACCTTAGGAAGAAAGCAACAGGGAGAGCATTGGAGGGAAGAAGAATAGAATAGAAAATGATGAATGCTTTTATTAAAAAAATAAATGCAATTTTTAAAAAAATGACAAACTCATGCAGCGAATGAAGAATGACTTCTAGAAATACTGGCAATAAGAATCAAAATCTATGAAGAGGGATGAATGGATTTTTGAAAATGGCTGAGTGGAGCAGTGGGTGAAGAAAATGATACATTTTATAAAAGCATGAGTTACTGGAAAGCATAGTTTTGGTGCATTGAGTAATTTCTGCTCTTTTGAAATTTAGATAACTAGACTCCTTTGCATTCCTGTTCTGCCCTTGTAAAGGATAGAAGAAATGTCTAGTTGATAGCCATTGTCTCTGTTCTTTAAAAAGTCAATTATGTTGTACTTTATTCGTTAAAAGAATATCTACTTGTGAAGCCCAAACAAAATATCTTTTCATCAAATGGTTGTATTAAATTCTCAAAGAACCATTGTTTTTAACTATGACATGATACTACCTTGAAAAAATGTATATCAAAATAACAGGTACGAATATGAATTTATACATAACATATAAGCACTACTTTATTATTGGAGAAACCTATCTAGTATAATTTTTTGAAAGGCTGTATTTATTTACTTATTTAAATAATATAATAGTTTATTTTTACATCATTTTGTATATTTTTTCATCTCAGTTGGAATCCCCGTGGGCTTCCCATCACCAAATCACCCATGTGTCATCACCATAGTCCAGTGCATTTCACTCCTCCCACAGTTTTGGATCCCATTCCCCACTCCACCTCCCATAAAATGTCTCTGGTATATAGCTGTTCATTATTATTATTATTTTCTCGCCTGGTCCATTATATTCTTGCTATGCGTGAAACCATCCGGTATTTTCCCCTTTCTTTCTGGCTTATTTCACTAAGCATGATCTTTTTCAGCTCCATCCATGATGCTGCAAAAGGCATGTGTTTCTCTTCTAGTATAATTTTTACTTCTGCTTTATAACTGCTCCCCCCCACCAAGAATTATCCAAATAAAAGGTACTCCAAGAAAATGGAAGAGTTTTGAATAGCATACCCAGAACTGATTTTTCTTCAAAATAAAGGTGCTTTTTTTTTTTTAAAGATTTGTTTATTTGTACATACAGAACTGGGGTACAGGCCAGAGGCTCAGGGGCGGTGAGAGGCTTCATCAGAGAGAGAGTGGGGAGCAGAACAGGCAGATCGACGAAGTACACTGCTGAGGGGAGCAGCGGGCGGGCTAGGAGAGGTCTGCCACGCCATGTGGTCACCTCCGGGGCAGGTGGGAATCGAACTCATGTGGAAGTGGCTTTAGCTTCTCAGTGCTGTGCTTTAACCCACTGTGCCACCAGGGAGTGCCCAAGATTAAAGTTTTATTAAAGTTTTGACATATTAACTAAAATATAAAGTCTGATTAAATACCTTTTGCTCATGTTGCTTTGAATATATTGAAACATGAATTGAAAGAAAAAGTTTTCTGGTTAAAAGTGGCTTCAAATAATAATTGCAATGTAATTTTTGAATATAATGGGTCAATTTTTCAATATTTTATAAATGGCAAGGCAGTTATTAAGCACTTGTTTTCTTGCCTGTGTTATACTCGTATATGAGCTGAAATCTTTCTAAAATTTTATAGGTAGCCAATTTATATATTTTCAAGAAATATATTAAAGTATAAACAGTAAGCTGTAGGGTTAACCAAATCTTGTTCAAATATAAAGAAGCACAAGGGAAATTCTAATTCATATTACTTGGTTAAAAATTGTTTTTTCCAGCTTATTAAAAAATCATTATTTTTGGAGTCTTTAAAGATTTCTTCTTCATCTAAAAAATGATCCTGAGAAAGAGAAGCTTTTAAATATTTAAAATAAAATGAGTTCATTCTTGAGTGATATGAAAGACCAACTTATCTCAAGTAAAATTAATGAGATAATTAGGTTAAATGGTGTCACAGATTTTACTCTATGTAATTTTGCTGAATAGTATATATGCATAGTTCTCCTTCTTTGTTAAAATTATACATAAATATATTTCAGTCTTTTCTCTTGAAGGTAGTAGCTGGCAAGAAGGGAGAAAACTTAAAACATGCATACACACAAAAGCCAGTTGTCTAAATTTTGCTCATTTGAGGTTTATACTTCTTTAGAATGTGAATAAAGCTCTTAGCTTTCAAAGGATATTTATCTAGCTCAAATAGTTTTAAACACACTATTTCATGAAAATAGAAAATGAGACTGTATATGTTCGCTTTAAAATGTTTACTTAACCACAATAAAAGGTTAGATATATTTCCCAAGTGAACTAAGTTATGATACCTGCTATAATGCAAAAATTTAAACATACTTTCAACTTAGCTTCCACTCATTTATCATGTTTGACACAAAAGTCAAAAGCCCTTTCTAAATACTAGGTAAGCCTGGCTTAGAAATCGTGGTATTTTTCTTCTTCAGTAACAAGGTATGAATGAAAAACTTGAAAGGGAGGAAGAGAGGGAAAATAAGGAGACAAATTCATTACTGCAGCCTTACATGAGGTTGCAAACACAATGAAGGATTTTAGATCTGGACTATGTTATTTGAGATTTACATACTCTAAGGATTCAAACTCAAAATGAAGAGAGAGAGAGAGAAACAGAGGGAGGCAGAGACAGAGAGCCCACAGGAGCATGAGTACATGCCCAGACACATACTCTTCTATAACTTAATAATACTTTCATAAGATTTCTCAGTGCAAAATATTGTAAAGTAAAATACAACCTTCAGTTTTTTTTTTCTTTTTCCATAACTAACTTCTAAGACAATACATGTACTAATTAGGTTCTCAAAAGAATGAAGATCTGAGCATGATGTTATTGCCAGTGTAAACTTTCTTTGTTCAGATTCATCAGTTTTGCACATCTTACTTAAAAAGATGTTACTAACTGAAAAAACAAAAAACAACTGTGCTCACATTTTACTTAGTTGTTCATTCTTTTAAGATATTCAGCCCAGGGAGATTCTATTACTGTAATGCTATCTGAGGGTGGTCTCTCAAAGATGAATGTGGTAACAGTGAGATATGTTTATTCTGAGGAAAATCTATTTTGATGTCTAATTAGAAGCTTTTAAATGTCTTACTCCCTGTTTCTTTGTAGAGAGACTCCTGGGAAGGGAGTTGGTTTTGTCTATATAGATGTTATCCCACACCTGCATTTTAGTTTATGTAAAGTTCCAAAAATATACACTGCTTTTCTCACACTTACCGTCTGCACAAAAAGTTAATAGTTTTGGCAAACTGCAAAGGATTTCAATTTGGAAAGTGCTAAATGAGTATTTGAAAGATCTGGTTCAGTGCTGGATGCTTTTAAATGCATGCTAGCTGCAGGCTAAATCTTCCGGAGCACCTGGTGGCTAAAGGCATGGCTAGAAGGGGAATTTTCAGGCTGGAAACCTAAAGTCAGCTGTCAAAAAACTGGAATTGAGTTTATACCTCTCACAGCTTTTTACAGATCAACATGATAAATACTTAAAATTTGCAACAAAGGTTCTACTCCCAACTATTCCAGATAGATCCCTGAGTCTTCATTTTTCTCTTCTTAAGTGGGAGGGCCGGGGAGCAGTGTTTCTCAATTATTTATCAAACTCAAAATTTAAAATTTTGTAGCAGCTTTCACCATCTGCACAATATTTAGCTGCCCATGGTCTTGAACACAGATTTTAAATATCGCTGAGAGGAAACCATGTCTGCTGGCATGGCGAAATACCATGGCTGGCAAGTCCCAACATGACCTGCAGAGATTAAAGCTCCAGATCCAAAAGGCTGAACCTCTTAGCAGGAAAGGGTAAGCATCAGGTTTCTTCCCGACATGATTTAGAACAAGTCTGGTGTAAACTGCCCTAGTGAATCACTCAAATTAACTAAATAATGTTCTTTCAGTATCAATTCTTTAGACTGTCATTCCATTCTTTCAAGTGACCCCTGGGTAGATTTCAATGTTTCTGACAGACTGAAACAGAATTTTGAGTGCATTCTAATTATCCAACTATTTCCATTACATTTTCATTTGTGTCTTAAATAGATGCTTTCCAATTCGAGAGTTTCTAGGAACATGAGCTAACCTTGGAGTCAACTTGGTTAACAGCATTTTCAATTTCTTGACCAGATGGAATTAAGTTTCATTGTCAGCACTTTGGCTCTTAAGAGAACATAGACTCATATGGTCAACAGTGGTCATTTCAGAAGCTTTACCTGCCCACTCAACTCCACCCATAGTTGAGTAGGGCAAAGAAAACGGTACCTCTCCCTGTAATGTATAATAGATGTCTCTGTTACAGTACCTCTTTTAAATTTCAAACTCATTGAGCTATAATGCATTCTCATTTAGCATGAAAATATGCTCAGGTGTCACGAAAATTAAAACATAGAGCCGAGATTAGGAAACATTCCAGCTTCTAAGAAAATTAGATGAGATTCTAATCTGAAAAGAAAATTTACCTCTGGATTTTTTTCCAAAAACAAAAGCCTTGCCAAGAAGTTGCCAAGTTGGCCTATATAAATCTTCCAAGTCCAACTGCCATCGGTCTGGTTCAAGATACCGAATAAGATCTTCCAGTGTACTGAAGGCAGTGACAGCATTGTTGAGCAGGTCCAGGGGCATCGCTGAGGGCGGTAGCACTGACGGGCTCACAGCTTCTGTGAACTGCTGAAAGTAAAACAGATCCTCGGTTAACTTAATTTATGTCAGTGTCTTCATTCTGGACTTTACGTATGAAGCTCGGTAGACTGAGGGCATGATCACATGAGAAGTAGGTTCTTCATAACATGGTTATTACGCTGCCAGGATTTCATGTACATAAGCAAAAACTTCTGTGTGGTCAATCAGAAAGATATAAACTTCATTTCCACAAGGTGATAACTGGTGAGTGTAGATATCTGTTTCTTAAAGGAAAAGTCACTATGGTTCAAGTATGGATTTGCACTGGAAATTAGAAAAAAGCTTAGTAACTTTTTTTTATTTTACTTTTCATTTTCTTAAATCTAGTAACTCATCTGATAGTTATATAAAATGAACAGGAGATGAAGTATACATTTAATATAAAATAACTGGTCCTTAAAGATTTAAAATTAACTATAGGTGAAAACTTTTACATTAGAGATCAGGTTAAACAAGGTAAAAAATACCCAAAACACAAAACATAAAAGCTAAGTTTGATAAATTTGCCTACTTTTTTTTTTTTTTTTAACAGAAGTAAAAGCGAAAACCACTGGAAAAACATCTTGGCAAAATCCCTGACTGTCACAAGACCAGCATCCAGAGTAAACATGTAAGGACAAACAACTCAGTAGAAACCAGGCAATTCCAGACAGGAAACTCGTATGCCAACAGCCATAAAAACATGCTAGGTTTCTTTAATTATCAGAGAAATGCAAGATAAATTGAGATATTATTTTTCACATACAAAAAAGGAAATTCTAGTTTATACACATGACACTGGCAGGCATTTAAAAGAAAGGCTTGCCAAGGATGTGAGTAAACTGGAATTGCTCTGCTGTGCCTTAAAAGTGAGTGCATTTGGTACAATCACTCTGGTTCATGTAATGGAGAGACATGGGAAACCAGGGTTGAAGATGTACACATCCTATGTTCCTGCAATTTACTTCAACTTCAACGTTTATAACCTCTGACTTGTGCACACAGAAGTATGTGAAGTATTCACTGCAACATTATTTGAAATAAAAATTGCAAGCAGCCTAAATGCCTAGCTACAGAGGAATGACTTAAGCATCATTGTTTTAAGTGACATAAACAAAATGAGACAATGATGTCAATAACGTTCATTGAGAATCTCTCCTTCCCCTATTTTTACAGTGAACTAAGTAAGGACTGATAGGTCAGGATTGAAATCCAAATGGGCCAACTACATGATTAAATGTTTAACTTTTTTTATTATACCTTTTTTTTTTTTGTGGTGGGAGAGAAAAGGGTATTGAGGAATACATACATGTTGGCTGCTGTTCACAGTATCAAATCTAAATTACCGTAGTAGGATAGTTAATCATACTGTACTCGTAAAATGAAGCAGTGTACAGTCATTAAAAATGAGATCTTTAGGGAATTTTACTAACTAAAGAAATGGCCTACAATCTAAAACATAACTAAAAGGAAACCAAGCAATATAAATACAGCATTACTAGACCATGACTTCAACAGACATAAATCAAACAAAAAAATCAAAAGCACATACAATGTCAATAATGTTTACCTGTGCTTTTAATAGCAGTGATTTTAATGTTTTTCTTAATAAACATCCATGTTTTTAATATTTTCAATAATAAATATGAACTCATTTTGATGGTCAGATAAAAATAATAGCAGTTATAAAAACACTATCAACTTTTTCTTTTATACTCTCATTACTTGGTTGAGGTAATTGAAAGTCAAGCACAGTTACCTCTTACTTTTTTCTATATCCTAAAAACTTTCCCTTATTGCTTTTTTCTAAGATGTGTAACCCTAGGTTTACCTACCTAAAATAAGTCATCACTGATCATGTGATGAATTAGGATAAACTCCAGGAATATTCATCTAGAGGACAAAATTCAAATTCTTACCCTGTGTAGGAGCCTCACAACCTGACCTTTGCTCACCTTCTTCATTAATCCTCTGCTCATCAAAGACATGCACATTTTGTTCCACTCGATCTCATTTCTTCGCTAACACTGCGCATGTTGTATTCATTTCAGACCTGTATTTCAATCCACACTTAATGCTGCCCTCCTTTCCCACATGTGATGCATATGCACAACTCTCTCTCTGGTGATGCACATAATAAAGGTTTGCCAATTACAATAGCCTTTCTTTAAACTCAATTCATCCATGAAAACTTCCTCGCTAACAGGCCATTATTGGTCCATATATCTCAACAGTGTCAACTGGAAAAAGATCCCCTTTTTGGGATATCTTGTGGGCACATGACCTGAAAGGCAGAAAAAGGATCAGGGTTCTTTGGACAGACACAGTCCCTGTGGCTAAAATTTGAACACTAATGTTTTCAATTAATCTGTAATATTTTGTTCTACCAGTTAGAATTGAAATTTTAGAGCAAAAACCAAATTTAATACAACTCTAGTTATTTGCAATATATTTTTTTTAACTACCCATGAAGTACAAATTTGCTATGATAGGGAGTGTTATTATGAGTGATAACTATATCATGGATATAGAAAACTATTTAAAGAAGTTTTAATTATTGATTTAACCAATTGAATTAATATTGATTCAATTTAGAAGCCAAAATTTATCTTTAGAAAGGACAAAAATTAAGGGTCAGTAATACCCTAAAAGAAATAAAGTATTACTCATGACCATGATGATATAAAACAAATACCAGGTGTCATCATCTGAACATGGAAATTAAATGTTTAAAGCATGAATACAAAGTAAATATTATTCATTAAAGTGTCATAATACAGTTGCCTATTTTAGGAATGATATAAAATTGTTAGTGAAGCTATTTTCAAATAAGACCACACCAAGAATGAGTAGGCTTATTTTGCTTTCACAGCTTTTGGAGACAGAATGAAATCCATATTGCTGAGATAAAGGTAAAATACTTTTACAAAAGAAAGCATAATACAACATAAGCCCGCAATAGTGGACATACAAAATAGGCACATCTTGGAGTCAATGAAATATCAAAATAGCAGTCTCTCCAGCTACTAAAGGTGGAAGAAAGCAACTAGGTGTACACATTGCATACACATATTGAGTGGTGTTCCAAACTTCTGAGCTTTTAAACTTTTTGCTGAGATCAATTTTAAAAGACCACACACACACACACTCCCCACCCAAACGACAAAAGGGGAGAATCTACTCACTTGCCTTAGATCCAAAGAATCAATCACTAGGCAGAACAGATGAAAGATGAAAGATGAAACAGGGCTTTACTGAAGGGTTTCTCATGACAGTCACCCCCCACCCTCAACCACACTGGTTCAAGGAACAACCAAGTCATTCACTTCCCAAGTTCTGCTTTTCCATGTTGTCCAAAGGGATTTTCAGTGGAAAAGAAGAGCAACAGGGAAAGGAAAAAGTCCTCTATTTTTTTTTTTAAGTTTTAATTTTTCTTGTAGAGAAAAGCCCTTCCTTTCACTACAAGCTAATAGCTCTTTTGCTCATATTTGGTATCTAGAAAATTCTAGCGAAATCATTGTTATTTGAAAACACTTACGGTTGGGTTACGTGCCTCAAATTGCATTAGATCTGCACATTTCCTATTTTCTCTCTTTTTCAGTCACCATGAAAATAGACACTACTTAGTTTCTGGATAACAATGATCAGTCATGGAAAGCAAACTTTCTTGGTGTTAAGCAATGTAAACAACTCAATCAGCACCCTCACTCTTCTCTGCTATTACCTGCAGGGTTTAGCCTAGACCCTTCCGGGTTGACCTGACAAGGTTAGAAGGTGAAAACCAGAAAAGGGCATCAATCTCTATGTAGTGTGGCAGCCTATCAAACCAGGCTAAAAACTTTACAAACTGAGGTTCTTTAAATGCCTTGCTGAACATCACCTGAAAGACAATAGGAAGAGCAGCATCCTGGCAGAAGCCCCTGAGCCTTGTCTTCACCCGGGTCCTGCTCACATTGAGGAAAGAGAATTTGTGCAAATGCAGTGAACTACTGAGCTATAGTTTCCTCTTTTGTAAGTTCTTGATCTCTAAGCTTCTTTCCAGCTTTTACATCTAAGGATTCTATGTGATTTCCTGATACAAGAAGATCCATTTTCTCTACATCTAGGTCTCTTGTCTTCTTGATACCATCCTACTAGGAAAAGGCTTCAGACTGGGATATCCAGAGCAGAAACATCAGGTGAAGTCCAGGGAGAAAGCTAAGGAGAGTGGCCTCAGAAGAAACCAATCTCACTGCACATTGATTGCAAACTTCTAACCTCCAGAAATGTGAGAAAATAAGTCAGCTGGCCCATGGGCTTCGTTAGGGAAGTGCGAGCTAATTAATAATGCTGTCCTAGACTTCTCAATTTACTATTAAGTAGAAACAAACGTTAATGTTATACTATGTCCGCTAAATCATTTAACAAGCATGCATTAAAAAGCCTGTGAGGGGGCCCTCCCTGGTGGCACAGCGGGTTAAAGCACAGCACTAAGAAGCTTAAGCCACTCCCGAATGAGTTCGATTCCCACCTGCCCCGGAGATGACCACATGGCTTGGCAGACCTCTCCTGACCCGCCCGCTGCTCCCCTCAGCAGTGGACTTCGTCGATCTGCCTGTTCTGCTCCCCACTCTGTCCGTGGTGAATGCTCTCACCCTCCGGCCTGTACCCTAGCTCTGTATGAATAAATAAATAAACCTTAAAAAAAAAAAAAGCCTTTGAGGGAGTGTGCTGTCAACAAAACAGACCCAAATACATGCAATTTTAACTTCTGTAAGTCTTTTGAATCACCAGAGATTTTTTCCCTTGGGGAAAAAAAAAAAGCCAAACTGAAAATTTACTGTTGAGAATCACATAACTTACCCAACAAGTTTTATACAAATCCTGTATGAGTATGGACCATAATTTTTCATTTAATCTAAAAGAATAACTGAAAATAGATGTATTTCTACTTTTATTGTTGAAAATAACTGACAATAACATATTGAGCATTAACAGCTACACGAATCTGTTGTAAACTCAAAATAGCG